GGTCATTTTATAGATCCATTAAATCTACATTTTCTCTTGGGCTCCTTTCCCCAGCTCCCCTCAACTCTACTCTAGTCACACACTCTAAAAACCCCCTTAAGCCCCAGGAATAAATCTGTATAAACTGCCAAGTGTTCAATCAGGCTTTTACTATATCTCTTTGCAATTAGAATAAATTTACTGCTTGGAGAGATGAGGGGAAATATGCGAGGTACTCCTTGGATAAATATACTGCAGTGAGAAAAGTAGAGGCACTGTAAAAATTATCTCTGTGAATTCAACAAGAATCGAGGTCACGGGAACCGCTACATACCAGGGAACGTTAATTAATGGGCCTGTAGCTGGTGGTACCACTTGGCTGCTCTACTCCAGCTGCCTGCTCTATATTTCTCTCGTTTGTAGGACTATTCTTGGAACAAATCCCATCTCTTTTTTTTCCTCCAAGTACAAAAAGTACATAAGTCTATCCTGGAAGGATGCCAACCTTTCAGAGAACTAAGGAAAGTGTTGTTTCTTTGCTATTTTTATCTCCTTTTTTGAAAGAAAGGACACTCTGGAGCGGGATTACTTGTAATCAGCGTTGGAGCTGTGGTCTGAGGTCACTGTTCTGGCACTGTGTGCACAGGGAGATGTCCTGAAGATGGAGAGCAGAGAGGGACACTTGTAACTTCTCACACCAATACAGAAGACACCTAAAAGACACTACTCAGATCTTCCTTGACTACTCACTTTGTATCCTAGGCCAGGCTGAATGCACTCATTGCCTCCAAGCTGCAGAGGGAGGAGGAAGGGGGAAAAAAGAAGCATCTGATAGAGGAGACAAAGTATTTCCAGGGTCAGGATAGCCTTTACCATTTAAATATTCTGGGAAACATTAAATGAGACCATGCATGTAAACCATTTAGCTGAGACACAGGAGTTAATTATAATGCAATTCCACAATCGAGGTCCAACCTACAAGTTTGACATAGGCTCTCTCCCTTCACTGCCTTGGGTTGCATTTCAATTTTGCATCGTTCTGGTTAAGCACAGATTTCAGTCAGAAAGATCTGGGTTTGAATCCAGCTAGGACAGCAGTCTCCAACTCAACCTTCTTATATGTAAAATAGGGCTAATAATAAACAGTTATGTGCCTCCAGGCAATTGGGAAGATTTAAAGAGACACTTCAAATAGACTTTTCCAGCACAGTGCTGGGCACATTGTAACAGTCTCCATAAATATTCATTGTGATCCTCAGGGCAGTTAGTTATCTAAGCATGTCCATAGGTAGCAGGAGAAGAATGGGGGAAGAGTTTGCTTCTTTGAGCAGATGAAAGCAGCTTCACAAGAATTGTTTTCTGAAGCGGGAAATTGGTTGCTTCTATTGCAACTGGCCTTGTTTTGCTTCTCACTTGGAAACTTTCTTTCTTCCGAGTTGCATAGTGGAGGGACTGGGCGTTCTTCCACACAATGACAGACATGCAAATCTCGCCCAGAAATAACAGGGAAAATGCCTGACTCTGCTTCTTTAAGGAATTCTCCAGGTAGTCATTAGCCTTGAACTCCAGGCTCAGAGCCCTGGGGATGTCCGCTTGCCCCCCAGCTCCCAAGACAGGAGGGTCATTGTCCACTTGGGCCTTTGTGAAGGAAACTCAGATTTGCTGAGCTCTTTAAGAAAGGAAGAATGTTGTAAAAAAAAAAAAAATTTTTTTTAAATGTTCTCCATTACGACTTCCAAACTGTAAAACGATATTTGGGACTTTTCAAAGACTTGGGACTTTTTCTGAAATTAAGGAATATGGATTTAAAGGGAGCCTTGGGGGATTAGATTTTTCTTCCTCTTTGAAGCATTTCAAACAACTTTCATCTGCTTTCAGAGTGCAAGTCAATTTGGCATGGCATTCTGGTAAAGCCTAGTTGTCTTCTCCACGGAACTGATACTTTTGTGCCTCATTTTAAACCCATTTGCAGAAATATTTAGGATATAGAAAAACAAAATTAAGATTGATCGTGAAGAACAGGAACATTCATAGTGAAGGGACAGCTTCTAAAAAACTGGAAAGACATTTTAAATTTTTTGTTTGGAGCATATGAAAATTAAACAAGTACAAATCTTGTTGTAGAACCAGCCGCCACATAATAAATATTAATTCTTAGTTTCCTGGTTGTCGGTCCTCCTATCGAATATTTAGAGTTTTATGATATGCATAAAATTACGTACTCTCATGTAATAGCACTGTTCTAAGAGACAGATATTATAATACTTATTGTACTGAAAGGGAAACTGAGGCTCAGGAAATTTTAAAAAGAATTAAAAAAAAAAGTAATATGGTAAGAGCTTGAACCTGGGACACCAGATTTTGATACTCAAAACCTTATCTATACTATCCATACGTCATCACATTTAACCTGCCAGGTGACCTTGACATGCCTGATCAACCTTTGGTGCCTCAGTTTCCCAGCCTGTGAGATTAAAATGATACCTCTCTGGCTTCCTTTCAGTATTTATTTATTTGTTAGTAAATAAATTTTCCAGGGCCACGTCCTTCATGTGACCAAGATTTCCAGAAACATGTATAATGAGATTGCAGGAAACACACTTTGCAGAGGCCAAGAATATGGCGCTAACACCCTATCAGAGGCAAGAGATGCTTTTTGTTTGTTGTTTATTTATTTATTTTTGGTACTGGGGATTGAACCCAGGGGTGTTCTACCACTAGTTACATCCCCAGCCCTTTTTATTTTTTATTATTTTGAGACAGGTTCTCACTAAGTTGCTGAGGTTGCTCTCAAACTTGTGAAGCTCCTACATCAGCCTTCTGAGTTGCTGGGATTACAGGAGGGGGCCACTGGGCCTCGTGGTGGTAGATGCCTTTAAACCCAAACTTTGTTAATAAGTTTATCAACAAAACTAGTAAAAAGTCTGGGCTGGGGTTGTGGCTCAGCGGTATACTCACCTAGCATGCGTGAGGCCCTGGGTTCAATCCCCAGTACTACATAAAAACAAATAAATAAAATAAAGGTGTTGTGTTCAACTACAACTAAAAAATAAATATTAAAAAAAAACTAATGAAAAGTCAATATCTGTGGAATTCTAGACTTAATAGTCTTGAAATGTCTAGGAAAATAAATATATATATCTCTTCTGTCTATTTATTCCTTCATTTAAAAAGAAGTATCTATTAGGTCAAAACAGTCAATAACATAAAGTGATTTTCCTTTTATCTGCCTCTTCCCCAACTTACTTGATAGATTTCCCGTTGTTAGTTTCTCCTAAGACTTTTTCCAATTAGATACAATATACTTCTTATGTATGTGTATATACATATATAAATACATATATTCAGATACATATGTTATACAGATTCACATGTGCATTTTAAAAATGAGATCATACAATATATGTTGTTCTGCAACATTGTAATTTGACAATGTGCCATAGATATGTGCTCATTCCGATCTCATCCTTCTTAAAGGATGGAGAGGATTTTATAATTTATTTAACTAACTCCTTACAGATGTAGATACAGATTACGTTTCTGTTATTTAATTATTAAAAATAATGCCTCAGTGGATAATAATGATGATTTATTAATGTGGGAAAAAAACAATCTAGGGATAAATGGACTAGAATAAATTTAAAGGAAATGGTACCCAACAAAACCCTGACCACAGAGTGCAGCAAGGGGCATTGGAGGTGAGCTCATCCTTCTTGCTTTAGCTCTTCACCATGGCAGACTAATACATAGCACCTAGGAAAGAACCCAAGAAAAAGAACCAGGTAAAGAAAACAAGCCCAGCAGGAGTTTTTAGAGTTTAGCATATCTAGAAAAAAAGCTAGGTAAGGCTCATTGTTGAATGTGCAGAGACCATATGACGTGTAAGAAGATCATCTATAAAGCTCAGACTTTATATCATAAGAAGGAATTTAACAGAGAGGATGAGAACATGTTTGAGAGTTTAGTCTCAGTGTCTGTCCCCAGAGGCAGAGTTGTTTCTTATTCTACACTGTCACCTCTATACCTGGCATAATTCCTGACAAAGAAAAAGGTGTTTTAAGTACTTGAAACAAAATGCAAAATACTACTCTTAAGAGGATGAGAGGAGTAAGACTGTGGAACAGGGACCAGCAGAACCAACCTGAATGTAGAAAAATCTTAATTTGTATCTTTAAAAGTAAGTGAGAAATTTAAAAACACTGAAGTTTGGTTTAAAGTAGTAAGTTCAAAAGTTTTTCACCAAAGCCTCTGTCTTTTGCTTTTCTGAGCATGTTTTTCTAAGTACTCTGCAGTGTGTTTTATTTCATTGTCTATTCAAAAAAGATAATAATTTAAGCTATAACTGGATGTTGAATTTTTTAAAAAAATTTTTCTTGAACCAAGAAACAAGTGACTTTGTGTTTGGCTGCCAGTTGAATCAGTTGGTTGGCTTCTGCCTCTGGTCCTCAGCATTCATGCTCTTAAATGAAGTGACAAGAACCAAGTGGCCGTAGCATGTCTTTGGCCTTGCTGAAAGAATTCAGGGCATAACTCATAAGGCCCTGCGATGTCCTATCAACAGGGTGACTTCTGTCCAGTCAACCAAGGGCTCAGATAAGTAGACTTATGGTTGTATCCGTTTCTTTTCTTCTTCCTCTTCTTCTTTTTTTAAAAAAATTTTTAGTTGTTGATGGATGTTTATTTATTTATTTATACATGTACTGAGGATTGAATCCTGTGCCTCACACATGCTAGGCAAGTGCTATACCACTGAGCTACAACCCTAGCCTGATTGTGTCCATTTCTCAAGGTATTTGTATAGAACAAGATAACCAAAAGGATATGAGGGATTTATGTACATATATGAATATAACATAGTGAATTTCATCTGTATATATACCCAAAATGCACTCATTAAAAAAAAAACCATAAATCAATAGAAGAAAGATCAGTAGAGGGAACAGGGGGAAGAAGTACTGGGAATTGAATTGGTGCAAATTATATTCCATGCTTGCATAATTATGTCAAAATGAACCCCGATATTACGTATAATGAATTGATAAAAAATAAACAGCCAAAATAATTTTTTAAAAAGAGGGAAAGAAAAGCCAGTTTAGTTGCCCTTAATTTCTATATCAGGGCCAGCAAATTACCCAAAAAAGTGCCAGGGGGAAGATGGCTAACCCTTGTTCTCCATCATTTGAGTCCTCCAGAGTGATAATTCAGACTCATCATGACACTGAGGCACTGTGGGAAGAAAGATCAAATAAAATTGACTATTTTTCTGGTATACTGTTTAAATGTTCCAAGCATGAATAATTACATAGTTCCAAACATGAGCAGAAGCACTAGATAGTTCAGAGAGACCATTCCCTGATCATTCTGAATCAGCAGGATAGTTTGAGCTTTTCTTTTTTTCTTTTTTTTCTTTTTTTTTTTATCAAGTCCAGACCCAAAACCCATCCTGAATTCTCTCTCCCCATCCCAGCAGGGCTCCAGCTCCTGAGAACACATGCTCCAGAGTGTTCTGAATTAATCTACGGATAGAATTATCTGCAGGGAGGAGACCTGCTGTCCCGGGGAGAGAGAGGGGAGTGATTTGTTTGGGAAGACTTTTCAAACATCATCTTTTGTCTCAGATGGTAGGGAACTAGCCTGGAGTCAGGGAGTGGGCTGCAGGTCTTTACTGTGACTTTGGTGCGTGGCTTTGAGCTTCATTTTCTCCATTGCAAACTAAAGAGTTTAAGTAGATGACTATGGTGTGGAGAAGAGCGCCCCTTACTAGTTAGTGTATGCAATAAAGTATGTTGATAAAACCAAATCAAGACTCCATAATCCTAAAGACATATGACTGTTCACATAGATTTTTTAAAAAAATCCCAAGGACCCTAGGAGCATAGCACTTGGACATCAGTCCTAGGTATGGACATTTTTGCCACTAAATCAGGCATCCCTTGTCCTTGGGGATTCTGGTAAGAGCCTCTCCTTCTTAAACTAGATCAGCTGTAAACTTTGCCCTTCCTGAAGGCCTCAAGAACCCAGGATTTCTATCAGGGACTCAGCTATAAGCCTAGATTTGTGGTCCTATCAGCAATACCATTCTTACTGCTCTCTTCAATAAGTCTTTTGTTTCCTGAGCACCGTGAGGCCCACCAAGAGCAGCTAAGCTTGGCCAATCTTCCCTGAGCTCCATCTCAAAAGGCAACTTCAGGGCATAAGGAAGAGAAACCCTTCACAGTGCTATTGACAGAGTCTCTAACTGCATGGACTTATGTCCTGATGAAAGCCATCATTTGCTTGTTGATTACGGCTGTCTTAGTTTATTTGGGCTTCCATAACAAAACCCCATAGACTTATGTGTGTCTTATAAAGAAGAGACATTTATTTGCACAGGTTTTTTAAATGTTTATTTTTTAGTTGTGGTTGGACAGAATACCTTTATTTTATTTATTTTTATGTGGTGCTGAGGATCGAACCCAGGGCCTCACACATGTCAAGCAAGTGCTCTACCGCTGAGCCACAACCCCAGCCCCTATTTGCACAGTTTTTGAGGCTAGAGATCAGGGTGCCAGTGTTGTTGGATTCTGGCGATGGCCCTCTTTTGGGTTGCAGACTGCTGAGTTCTTGTTGTATCCTCACATGGCAAAAGGAGGAGCCCTCTGGAGAGAGCTCTCTGGGGTCTTTTATAAGGGCCCTAGTGCCACTCATGAGGGCTCCACCCTCATGAACTAATCACTCCCAAAGGCCCCACCTCCTAATACTATCACATTGGGAGGTAGGATTTCAATGTATGAATTTAGGGGAGCAAATTCAGATCACAACAATGATAATTTTTAGATATTAAGAAAGCATCAATTCCAGCAGTAGCCTGGAGATAGCAGGCTTGTTTCTTGGCCAGGACAGCTCTCTTGAGGCAAAGAGAAATGGTGGCTGTCTGGTTATTTGCTTTTTTCCTGCTTCTCTATTCCATTTTTTAAAAATATTTGTCTTTAGTTGTAGATGGACACAATGAATTTATTTTATTTATTTATTTTTATGAGGTGCTAGGGATGGAACCCAGTGCCTCACACATGCTAGGCAAGTGCTCTACCACTGAGCCACACCCCCAGCCCTCTCTATTCCATTTTTGAGAGGCAGTAAAGTAATACCAACTACAACAATAGCAAACAGTGTCAGGGCCTTTACTCTGTGCCAGGCACAGATTCATCTACTCAATCCTTACAACAACCTTATGAGGCAGATTTTGATTATTAGCCCATTTTACAGATGAGTAAAACCAAAGGCAAAATTAAACAGGTAACAAGGAAGGAATCAGGATTTGATCCCAGGAAGTCTGGCTCCAGAGTCCATGCTCTGAGAGGACTTGACGGTTGAATAGGCCTTTGTTGAGTCCTGGCCCTGTCTGATCTTGGACTGGACTCTAAAACTCTCTGAGCCTCTGCTTCTAAATCCATTTTCATTTGTGAGGATGATAAAAAAAACCTGTGCCCTGGTAGGGTTGCTGTGAGATTTAGGTGGGATGACAAGTACAAAGGGCCTCGGTGGGTTATCTGGCATATGCTAAGGACTCAGTAATGGCTTTTACTACCAGCCAGAGGCCAGCAGGTTGCATCTTGGCCCAGCTCTGGTACTGGGGAGAGACTGGAAGGATGGTTGGCCATGGGTGAGCTCCTGATGTCCGTGTTACTGTGGGGCATCCCTGGAGTCAGGATTGCAATATGGAGTTGAGGGAAAGTGTTCAATTTTGCAAAAGAGGTTAGGAAAATGTTGCTTTAGGAAAGGTATTTAGTGCTTATTGTTGTAGAGGCAGGTCAAGCCTGTCAATAGGAGGAGGCCACAGAGGTTGCACCATGGCTCAGTACACTTGGGGCTAGTCTCCCCTCCTCCCACCCCCAGAATCATGTGTCCTGCCTGGCTTATCATCTCTGAGAGAGCAGCCTGGATACAGATCCTGTGCATCCCCATTAATGACGCACCTGATGAAGCATCTTCCCTTCATCAGGAGAGAGGGAGAACTGAAGGTGAAGGATTCCATGTGTCCACACATGTCAGCCTTGATGTGGAAGGTGAGAGAGATCACAGGTCACCAGCCTCGGCCGAAGACAGTTCACTAACCTAAGCAGATGTAAAAGAGGCCCTGCAGGAAGACAATGAAGAAAAATTTTTATTAAAACCACAATTCAGCATATCCATAGCATATCCATACATGGAGTACTATTCAGCTATCAAAAGGAATGGTGTACTAATATATGCTACCACATGGATGAGCTTCAAAAACAATATGCTAAATGAAAGAAGCAGACACAACATATATTGTATGATTCCATTAAGTGTCCAGAAGAGGCAGATCGATGGTTGGCAGGGGCCAAAAGGAGTGAACAATGGAGAGTGACTGGTAATGGGTATGGGGTTTTTGTTGTTGTTGTTGTTGTTGGGATGATGAAAATGTTCTGGGGATATAGCAAGGTTGGCTGAATGCTGTTGTGAGTATACCAAAACCATTTGAATTTTCTTCTATGCTTAAAAAATTTAAGCAATACATTTCAACATTCTAAAACAAATATCAAAAGGCCATTAATTTAAAACTAGCAATCGTTTTATTTTGCATATTCTAAAATTTTCTATGTAAGTATGAATTGCTTTTTAAAAAAATTTTATTTTGAAATAATTGTAGATCCACAGGAAGTTGCAAAGCTAGGATAGAGGCTCTGTGTACCCTCAGTTTCCCCCCAGTGGTTACAATCTTACATAACTCTGGTACATGTGGAAGCTGGGAGTGCATTGTGCAGTGCCTATGTATAGTTCTCTGCCATCTGTCACAGGTGTTTGTGTAGCTACCACTGCAATAAAGGTGTCAAATTTGGGGCAGGGGGGTATAGTTCAGTGGTACAGCATGTGTCTAAACATGCTGGCCCTATCCCCAGCATTGCAGGGGGAAAAAAGAAACTATTTTACCACCACCAAGTTCTTGTCCTGTACCCCTCCCCTCCTCCGGTCCCAACGCTTGGCAACTGCTCATCTGTTCTCTATCTTGAAATTTTTCCATTCAAGAATCTTATATAAATAGAGTATGTGCCCTTTTTTTAAAAAAAAGTAAAATATTTTGTACATTTAACAAAGTATTACACAGTAACAATGCATTAGGTAGCTAATTATTATGCCATTTTAAAAATTAATATTTTTTATTGATTCTCTTTCTAGGTGTACATGATATTAGGTAATAATTATAAAAGCCTGGAATATAATCTGCTCTAATTCAGTCCCCAGTACTTCCCCCTTTTTTAAAAAAATACTTTTTAGTTATAGACGGATGCAATATCTTTATTTTGTTTATTCATTTTTATGTGGTGGTGAAGATCGAACCCAGTGCCTCACATGTGTGAGGCAAGCGCTCTGCCACTGAGCCACAAACCCAGCCCCAGTACTTCCCCTTTTGAGATCAGCTTTTTTTTTTTTCCCCACTCAGCATGATGCCCAGGAGGTCCACCCAGGTTTTTGCAGCTGTCAATAATAGATCACTCATTTTCTATTCCTGAGGCGTATGCTATGGCATGGATGTACCCCAGTTCATCTATTTACCTATTGGAGAATACTTTTCTGTCTATTGCTGGATTTGGACCCTTACAAATAAAACTGTTAGAAATAGCAGGTGTTGGTGGAGATGTAAGCTTTCATTCCTCTGGGATAAACGCCCAGAAATACAATTGCTGAGTGAAATCCTGAGTATATGTGTGTTTAGTAACTTAAGAGACTGCCAAGGAGCTTCTAGACTGGCTGTACCATTTTACACTCTGCCAGCAATGCAGGAGTGACTCAGTTTCTCTGCGTCCTTGCCACCACAATTTTTGACCTTATCTGTCCTAATGGGTGTGTAGCCTTATCTCCTGGTGGTTCTAATTTGCATTTCTGTAATGGTAGTGATGTTGAATGCCTGTTTCACCTGTTTGCCCATTTCTACTTTGTTTTCACCATTGAATTTTGAGTTTTTTTATATATTGTAAAGAAGAGTCCACTGTCAGAATGTGTGGTTTGTAGAAATAGTCTTTCCTTTTGCAACTTGTCCATCATTCTCTTAACAATGTCTTTCCCAGAGCAAAAATACTTAAAACAAAAAACAACGAAAACCTTGATGAAGTCTAATTTAGAGATTTTTTTTTTTTTATGGACTGTGGGGTTTTTTTGTTTTTTGGATTTGTGTATGTACATGTGTGTGCACACACATGTTGGGGATCGAACCCAGAGCCTTGTGTTTATATGCTCTACCTCTGAGCTAAATCCCCAACCTTGCTTTGTGCTTTTGATGTTGTCTAACAACTCTTTCTCAAGCTTAGACTCAACAGTTTGTCTCCTATGTTTTCTTCTCCTATATTTTATAGTTCTGAATTCCTTTTTGAAAAGGCATTTTTTTTCCTAAACACAAAAAATGCATGCCCATTTTAGACCATTTGGAACACTGGAAAAAGCTAATGGGAAAATTAAAATCACTAGTAACACCAACACCCATAAATGTGTTTTGGTATTGGACTTGAAATTTTAATAAAAACATGACCTTTGTTCTAATGGGAAAATAGAACCCTCCAATGGTAAATAACACAGTGGAGAACCAGACTGGTGCTGAAGGAGGGGTGCTTCTCTGAATGCTGAGATCAGCTGGGGGAGTCGCCATTCAGAAAAGACAGAGAGCTACTGACCCTAATGGTAAAACTCATGTTTATGAACACCAGCTGTTGGTCACAGACTGTAATTACCCCACTAGATAAAGAAGCCATTTAAGAGCACAGGTTGCTACAGCTGGAAAAAAAAAAAAAAACAGAAAATAACCATGTTGGAAATCACAGGATTGTCACTAAGCAGAGTGTCAGGTTTGAGGGTGGACTAGTCTGTGTGTGTCTGGTAGCTTGGGACAGAGGCTGATCTAGCAGATGGGCCAGTATGGGCTCCTGTTCTGGTTCTGTTGGGGTTAGAATGTAGCTCAGGGTGGAACACTTGCCTGGCATAAGCAAGGCCCTGGGTTCAAGCCTCAGCACTGAAAAAAGAAAACTTATTTTGTTGGAGAGTCATTTATTGAGGTTCTCTTTTTCCAGGTCTGGCATGTGGGGGCTTCTGACAAGAAGCATCCTTCCATCCTGTCCACTTCTGATTCCTGGGCACCTGGAATTCTGCTTTTGGCCCACACACTTACCTGCCTAATATGGTCACATGGTAGCATCTGAGAGCCAGCAGTAAACTCCAGCAGCAACCCTGCCCCCACAAGCAGCTGGTCTTAAAAAGAAGTATCAGCAGGGCTGGGAGTGTAGCTCAGGGGTAGAGCCCATGTGCACTAGGCCTTGGGACCCATCCCAAGTAACAATCCCCCCCCCAACACACACTCAATAAAAACATGAAGCATTAGATATTTTACAGAAATTTCCCCCCAACCCCCACCCCAAGCCTCCAGGGAGCTGATAATCAAGTAAAACTTGCTATTTAATTTGTTTGATGAAGTTAAGAAACAATCCTGAATTTTATTTGGTTGATCTAGACATTCATATGTCAGTTTTGCATCTACTGGAGTATTGTTTGAATTGCTTGACTCTATGCTTACAAAGAAAATATTATTTTTTGATTACTAAGTGAGAAGAGCTGTTGTTTACTGAATATCAAGGAATCAGGTGAAACCCTTGGATGCTGACACAAAAATTTTCATAAGCATATATATTAAAAGTTAATTATGTAGTGAAAATTGCAATGAAATGTCCATCAAAAGTGACTTGGTTAACATAAATTATGATGCACCCATATAAAAATCAGCATTTATTACCATAGATAAAATGTGCCTATATATATTGAATCAAAATTTAGGTTTTAAATTCTCACATGGAACTTGATCCTATCTTTTAAAAGATATTGGAGAAGAAAAATATCAAAATGTAATCAGTGATAATCTCTGGGTTACTATGTTACGGAAAATTATATTTTTTTCCTGAGTTTTCCAAATCTAGTTGCATGGAAGTTATATTGCCTCAATAATCAGAAGGGGGAAAAAACAGAATTGCTAGCAATGGTCACAAAGTGGTATGTTCAATAGACCTGCATGTGTACTTTATAATTTTTTACCTACTAGTTCGTTGTTCAACTTATAAAAAATTGACAGCTAAAAACATTTAAGGGGGACAAAGAGTATAAGGTAAGGTAAAACGTGACAATTCTTTCCTTGTGACTTCCCAGAAGCCCTTTCACATGTCATTATTGTCCCCCAAAAATGTACATTTAAAGTAGAAATTGAACAGTGGGCACAGATCAGAAATATGGACACTAATGTGAAGAGGCGTAAGACTTTTTGTCAGAAGTGGATGGAAGTCAGCCATCTACTACTTCCCATTCCTTCACCCACTATCACATCAACCCCTTGTAAATATACAGTTCTTCAAATAAGGGAAATCACCCTCTGAACACATGGGTTCCAACAAACGTTGCTCTTCCAGCCAGGCATGCGAGTCAGCATGGGCTCTGATACCCAGATAAATCGAGTCCAGTTGAATTTCAGAGTATGTTTCAACAGTGAGTCACAAAGGCTGTGGATACTGCTCCTGCGTGCACAGAAGTCTCTCTCTTTCTCCTGTACTGCCCTCTTCCTGCATTTTCTTTTTAAAGTAGTTTCATAGTTGACTCCTAAGCTGGGGATGTGGCTCAGTGGTACAGAGTTGCCTAGCATGTAGGAATTTGGGGGTTTTGAGTCCCAGGATCAGGGAAGGAAAAAAAATGTTGACTCTTTCTCATCTTCCATACATCATCTTAGATGTCACCTCCTCAGAGAGGACATCTAAGATGGTAAAGCTCCTCTCTATCACCATTTCCTGATCAGATCCTTGGGAGAAGTTATTCTAATTTCTCATTTAATTAATTTATGCCTGCTCCCTGTCTTTTTTTTATATCCCTAGATTATAAACTTCAAAAGAATTTGGATACATGTGTGTTTAAATTGATCTTTGTTTAGCCAGTTTATATTTCATGATAGGCATTTAATACATATCTATCCAATGAATGATAATATTATCAAGATGAAAAATGTCATAAGTCCATCTTTAAGATGATACTCTAATTGTGTTAATGTTTTCAAAATTGGCTGACCCCTGAATGGCAGGTCCCTTTATTTTTTTCGTGGAGTAATTAACAAACTTTTATTAAGTGCCCACTGTTTGCCAGGACCTGTGCTAGATGATGGGGATAATGGGGCTTCAGGGAGTGCTCAGTCTAGCAAGGACGACAAATAAAATAGGTGAATAAGATCTAGGGAGATGTGGGATGTGATATGAGCAGTACGGGGTGTTGGTGGAGCATTGAGTCAGCTATTTCCTGAGCTTTATGAGAGCTGCAGCTGATGTTTCTCCACTAAAGTCACTCTGTGACATCCACTCAAGCCAAACCACTTCAGACCTAAAACACTGATTGCAGATATCTGTAAGTTTGTATGGAAAGATCATAATACGCTTTTAAAAGAGCGTAAATATATTTAGTGTAAGAGGCTGACACCACAATAAGCAAGAAGCCAGCAGAATAACTTCATCTCTGCAAAGTCTGATTTTATAGTCTCTAATTCTTTTCTCCTTCTTTCTATTCTCCACCCCCCTTTTCATTCTCTCTCTCTCTCTCTCTCTCTCTCTCTCTCTCTCTCTCTCTCTCTCCCTCCCTCTTTCCCTCTCTCTCCTCTCTCACATAGCTCAGACACAAGACATGGAGAAGCAAATGTTTTCTGACTAGATGACTTCAGTGGATTAGCACTTCTTTGAAAGTGATATTGTTACAGCCATAGCGTGTTTATGTGTAACACAGACATCTTTATGTATAACGCAGACGTGTCTGGGTGGGGAAAGTTAGCATTCCGGCCTCGTCATTTACTAAGGTAGGAAGTTCAGCTCCAGATCCCTAAAGCTTTGGGGAATCTTGATACGGGGCAAAGGGGGAACCAGCAAGAAGAGGGGAGATTTCTTTATGGGTTATTTATCTTTTGTCCCCCCTAACTCTCCCGGGCTTAACTCCTACTCTCTGAGAAACAGTCCTTTTCCAACACAGCTGGGATGGCTGTCAGCAGAGGTACCTTTTTAAGGACAGCAATCAAAAAAAAAGGGGGGGGGTTCAGGCAATTAGAAACCGCTGGTAAATCACAGAGACACCACCTGAGTTATATTTTATAATCACCTGATGGCAAAACATTTATTTCAGACACTGACACACTATCACAAAGGAAACCAATCAGAGGAAACAGTCTCTCAGCATTTTTCTTGATCATGAAATCTTTTTGTTTCAACAATTTTAAAACTGTTTATTATTGTTCTATATAAATTATGAAAGTCACCCATAATTTATAATTTACCGTAACAAAATCAAACAATCTGAAAGTACATAAAGTCAAAAAGCTAAAGTCCAGCCCTTCCTCTATCCTGGGCTCAAAAGCAGACAGCCAGTGGCAATATAACAGCCTCATATGTAATTTTTTTTTTTTATTGGTTGTTCAAAACCTTACAAAGCCCTTGACATATCATACTCATATGTAATTTAAATGTTTCTAGTGGCCACATTAAAAAAGTAAAAAGAGCTCAGAGCAGTGGCATGTTCTTGTAAGGCCAGTGACTTGGAAGGCTGGGGGTAAGTTCAAGACCAGCCTGAGCAACTTACTGAGACTTTGTCTCAAAGTAAAAGTTAAAAAAGGGACTGGGGATGTAGCTCAGTGGTAAAGCACTCCTGGATTCAATCCCCAGTACTGCCATAAATAAATAAATAGATAAATAAATAAACAGATAAATAAATAAAAGAAGAGGCAGCAGCAGCACATGAGCTGGGCCTGATGCATGCCTATAATCCCAGTGGCTCAGGAGGCTGAAACAGGAGGATCTCGAGTTCAAAGCCAGCATTAGCAAAAGTGAGTCACTAAGAAACTCAGTGAGACCCTGTCTTTAAGTAAAATACAAATAGGGCTGGGGACGTGGCTCAGTGGCCAAGTACCCCTAAGGTCAATCCCCAATACCAAAACAAACAAACAAACAAACAAACAAAAGTAGGTAAAATTAATTTTACTAATATATTTTATTTAAACCAATGTATCCAAACAATTATTTCAATAAGTAATCAGCATTATCAAATTATTAGTGAGATAAAATTTTTATTGATTTTTTCATTGTTTTTTTTTTGCTCCTACATTTGGTCTTATTATACACTTGCAACAAATCTCCATTTGAAAGCTAAATTCTTATTGGAGGGGTAGGGCTGTAACTCAGTGGCAGAGTGCTTACCTTGCATGTGTGAGGCACTGGATTCAATCCTCAGCACCACATAAAAATAAACAAATAAAATAAAGGCATGCTGTCCATCTACAACTACAAAATAAATACATAAAAAGAAATGTCCTCATTTTTTAAAATAAATAAATAAATAAATTCTTATTGGAAATACTTGATCTGTACTTAGATGTCATAAAGCAGACAGTTGAAAAGCAAATCTAGTTGAAAAGTAGACTCATATATCCAAGTTGTTGCAAATATACTGAAAAGCTTCCCAATAACTGAATCAGGTACCAAGGTTTTGTTTTTGTTGTCTTTTGTGATACTGGGGATTGAACCCAGGGGCATTCTACTACTGAGTCACCTCTCCATATTTTATTTTGAGACAAGGTCTTGCTAAGTTCCTGAGTTTGGCCCCGATTTGTAATCCTCCTGCCTCAGCCTCCAGAGTGACTGGGATTACAGGTGTCTGTCACTGTGCCCAATCTCAAGTACCAATTTTTAAATTAAATTTGAAGTAGTTAAAATTAAATAAATTTTCCATTCTTCAGTTATACCAGCTATATTTTGAGTACTCAATAGCCACATGTGGCTCATGACTACCATATCTTTAGAGAAAACATATCTAAATTTCATTTCAGAAAAAATGCAAATCATACTATGTATTTTACTGAACAACCCCTTTTTATCACCTAGTTATATTTTGCAATTTTTTCTTTCCTGTACATATGGATTTTCATTCTTTCTGATAATTGTGTAATAGATTCATTTAACCACTTCCCTACTGTGGGGCATATAAGTTGCTTTTGATGGTTTGCTGTTCTAAATATCCATGTTTACACAATATTTCCATAGAGTATAGCCTAAGAATTAATACTTTTGGGCCAAAGGATGTATACATTTAAAAACGTGAGAGTCAGGGGCTGGGGTTTTGGCTCAGTAGTAGCGTGCTTGCCTAGCACTGGGTTCAATTCTCAGCACTGCATATAAATAAATAAAGTAAAGGTTCATCAACAACTAATAAAAAAGTGAGAGCTAGTAAACAAATTCTCTTCCCAAATGGTTGTGCCACTTCTATCAGACCTTTTAGTCTCTGGTGTTCTTTTCCAGTATCTGTAGATGCTCCAAATACCAGAATCATAAAACATTGCAAAGAAAGGGACTTAGAGCTTGTCTATGACAGTATTTTTATTTTAGAGACCTGGAGAATCAAGCCCAAGCTGAGGGAAGGGGCTATGCAACTCTCTCTCGTCCTTTGTCCGGTGTGTATACAAGAGTCTGACAGTCTTTCCGAAGCATGCTTGGGAAGGTTGTCCTTCCTCTGCTCAGGGGCTGCCCCTCACCAGCCCTGGATCATTATCAGCCCCATCAGCTAGATCAGCCGGCCTTTGAAAGGAGCATCACACCACGCCTCAGTGAGCAAGGAGCACAGAGCCAAGGGAGCTCTTCCTTGACATCTGTATCCAAAATTGAATTCAATCTGCTCCGAGGCTTGCTACAATTGCAAAGTGTGCCTTCCTGCCTCCCTTCTGCTGAGCACAGCCAAGTCACAGACCAAGGCGGAAGGAAAAAAAAAAAAGGCATTTTGCTGCATGCAGAAATATGCTGCTCGGTTCAGCAATTCTCAGTAGGGCAGCTTAGACCCATTTTGCCTTTAATGCAAGGACAGAAACAGAAATGTCCTTCTGTGGGAAAGGTGATTCCCTTTAGCAACCCTCAGGCTAATGAGGCTGGAGAGACTCGAGGCATCTCACATGCCAAGATGGGCTTCTCCTGGGGGCTGCCCCAGCTTCCTCCCTCATGAATCCCTAGAACTTTACCAGGTCCATGAAATGGCCAAGTGCAGAAGCTCCTGGAATCAATCTCAACAGGACAGGTTGAGCAGGGAGATTACAGAGACTTCTATGAGCATATGTTCACTTTAGGCAAGCCAGGGCTAGCACATGTCTCCATCTCCAGAAACTTTTCCTCTTCCCCATCAGTCCCTCGTCCCATCTTAGCCCTGCACAGCCCCATTGGCCTAGTTCCTATATTCTCCGCCTTCCTGTTCATATCCCCAGCTCAGTTTCATTAGGAGGATCTTAAAAACTTTTGCTTGGGGCTGGGGCTATGGCTCAGCAGTAGCACACTTGCCTGGCATGTGTGAGGCACTGGGTTCAATTCCCAGCACCACATATAAAAATAAATAAATAAAGGTCTATCAACAACTAAAAAAGTATTTTAAAAAACCTTTTGTTTATGCTACACATTTATGTTGTTTAAAAAATCAATTCAGATGCCAGAATGGTGGCGCACATCTGTCATCCCAGTGAGCTGGGAAGTTGAGGCATGAGGATCACAAGTTCAAGGCCAGCTTCAGCAACTTAACAAAGCCTTAAATAACTGAGCAAGACAAAATAAAAATATTAAAAAGGGTTGGGGATGTAGACCAAAAAATAAAGACATTTTAATTTTATTTCTTTTTCTTTCTCTTCTCTTACCTTCTCTTTCCACTCAGTTGCCATGCTTTCTTCACATATTGGCACCAACAAGCCAAGATTCAGGTAGAAGGAAAGTCTCCTGTTTTTGTAACATGTTGCCAGATAGTTCATGCTTCTGTGTCTGGTGTCTCCTTTTGGTCCTTTATTTTATTTTATTTCTGATGTGTCTTAATGTTGGCAAGAAAGAAAAGAGACATCATAGTAGGAAAAGATGGAAGAGAGGAAAGCAGGGAAACAAAATAAGGATTGATTTCGTGCTGTATTAACATGTCACTGTTAGGCTTCTACTATGTCATCTGAGCACGTCCTCATCCCCCGTGTGCTATCCATCAACAGGACTTGTTGATGTCACCTCTCAAGTTTCTCTCAAGTCTACCTTCTTCTTTCTGTTTCAACCATCACCCTAATTCAATCTTCTCCCAATTGGCTCCTGTCAACTTACACCCACTCTTGCTCCTCCTGTATGTTTCCCATTGTAGACAGAATGATCAAAAAGGACCTTTAGGCTTATGCTAAATCCTGCAGAGAATAATCATCATCATCATCACCATCGTTAAAATCTTCAAGCACCTACTCTGTGCCAAGAACTTTGTTAGTGTTTTCGTGTCTAAGCCACTTAATCCTCACAATAACCCTAGAGGTAGGTATTATCATTGCTCTCATTTTAGAAATGAAGACATCAAAATACAGAGATGTATGTGATTTAACCAAAGATTTTTTTTTTTAGAATTTTTTTTTATTATTTATTTTTTAGTTTTCGGGGGACACAACATTTTTGTTTGTATGTGGTGCTGAGGATCGAACCCGGGCTGCATGCATGTCAGGTGAGTGCACTACCGCTTAAGCCACATCCCCAGCCCTAACCAAAGATTTTTAAAGAAATCTTTATTATCTTGCTTTTTTTTCTTTATACCAGGATTGAATCCAGGGATACTTAACCACTGAGCAATATCCCAAGGCCTTTTTATTTTTTCATGTAGAGTCTAGAGGCAGGGTCTCATTGAGTTGCTTAGGACCTTGCTAAGTTGCCAAGGCTGGCTTTAAACTTGGAAACCTCCTGCCTCAGCCTCCTGAACTGCTGGGATTACAGGTATGCACCACACAGCAATTTAAGTGAACTACTTTAGGAACCTAAATCACCAATAAATTCCCAAGTAATTAATATCTCTCTATATAGCAATGTATACAGTAGGTATACCACAGTAGGTATAAACTGTTGTCTAGATACTAGGGAATGGCAAGTGAGTTGCTTCTCACTGATGAATTACAAGTAAGCATATGGGTTGAGAAGGACTGAGGCTACTTCTGGGCTCAGTGGGAAACTGTGAGGGATTAAAAATGTCTATCCTGAGCCTTGTCCTGGTTAGAGCAGGGAGGGTCCTTGTTTTCTATTGCCCATATAACAAATTGCTATAAAACAATACAAATTTGTCATTTTATAGTAATGGAGATCAGACGTCCTCACTGGGTCTCTTTAGGCTACAGTGAAGGCACCGGACTCTCTGCCCTTCTCTCCAGGGCTCCCTTGGAGAGCCTGCTCCTGGCCTCCCTTGCTCCAGGGGATACCCACCCTCCTCAGCCGCTGGACCCTTGCAGTACTGTCTCAGTACAGTCACACATGCTCTGCTTCTGTCCTCAGATCTCTTTCTCTGACTCCTGAGTCACTTTTATAAAGATTCTTGTGATTTCACTGTGTTAAGCAAAATCCAAGATAATCTCCACAATACAAAATCCTCAATTTAACCACATCTGCAAAAATCTCTTTTACTACCCCAGGTAACATATTCACAGGTTCCAGGGATTGGGACAGGGACATCTTTTCAAGGCTATTGTTCTGTCCACCACAGTGGGTGATGGCATCTTGTGGTGGTGTGATCTCTGCTCTGATCCACATTCAAGTCCCATGAATGGATTTCACATCTGACACACAACACACATGTAAATGTTTGATGAACGAATAAGTGAAATAACTAATAAAACAAATATACAGGATAAGAGGGTTTCTGTCTAGGAGTGTAAGAAAGTGTAAACTGGCAGTGTAAGCTGCCATATTTAACACGCAAATTTGAGGAGAATCATTTTTTAAATCTTAATGGGGATTTCACAATTTGGGCAATGCCAAAATTAATAGTGGCAACTGAGGTTAATGTTAAGCAGATTTGAGTGCTGGAGGAACTTTTGGATGTACCAGTGTTTTCTTGACATCTTTGTCTTTTTTGGAGGGATACTGGGGAATGAACTAGGGGCCCTTGTCCACTGAGCCACATCCCCAGCCCTAGTTTCTATTTTATTTAGAGACAAGGTCTCACTGAGTTGTTTAGCACCTCACTTTTTTTTGCTAAGCCTGGCTTTGAACTCACCATCCTCCTGCCTTAGCCTCTGGAGCCCCTGGGATCACTACCCAGCGACATTTTTGGCTTTTAACTGTACCAGAAACTAGACGCTCCTTAAAGCGGAAGTATGCAGAATTCACTTCCTATAGAAGATGGAGGAAAGGATGGGTGAGAAATGGACTCAGGCTTCTGCCAGGAGAACTTCACCTCTCTCGGATGTAGCAGTTGTTCCTGAAGCAGCACCACTCAGTCCCAGGTAGAGTCAGCTCCACCAAGAGCTTCTGCTCTGCTCAGAATTGAGTTCAAGATTCTCAGGACTTACCATCTCCCTCCTACTCCCACCCATTGCTACCTCTCCAGTTTCACCCCTCAGCCCCCCATCTCCAGTCACACTAAGCTTCCCCAGAACCTCCAAGCCAACCCTTCTTGCTCCAGGGTCTTCTGACATGTGAGTCCCCAATTCTGGAATAGTCTTCTACCTTCTTTTGCCCAATGATTTCTATTTAACTTTTTTTTTTTTTTTTTGTACTGGGGATTGAACCCAAGAGCACTTTAACCAGTGAGCCACCTCCCTAGCCCTTTCTATTTTGATTCTGGGTCTCATAAGATTGCTTACAGCTTTGCTTAAGTTGCTGAGGCTGGCTTTGAACCTATGATCCTCTTGCCGCAACCTCCTGAGCCCCTGAGATATAGGCATGTGCCACCACACCGGGCCCCTACTTACCTTTGAGGTTCAACTCAAAATCATTTATCACATCCGAAATGCATGTTAACACTATCTATATCATGTCCCCTTCCTTTCCAGGTTATAAAAATGGCTCAGTGTCAAGAACTTGGAATGTGGACTCACTGGTTGACTATATTCTGACGCCACCACTCATTAGCTATATGACCTTAGGTAAGACATGTAGCCCTCATGCTTCTATTTCCTCATCTTCAAGATGGGGCTAATGACAGCTTCTACTACAGAGGACTGCTACAAGGATTAAATGAGATAATCCACCCAGAATATTTGGAAGAGTACCTGTCCTGTTAGTATACGCTGTTATATTCCTTTATGGCACTTATCAAAATCATCAAGATTAAAACTTTATTTTTGTTCTTATCTAATATGTTTTTCTCCATTAGTAAATCCTACAGAGGCAACACAGCATCTCTCTTGTCCTCCATTGTATCTGGGATGATCAGCCCACTGCCTGCCATGTTTTAGGCCCTCAGTAGATGAATGGGGAAATGGCTGGATGCATGAACCTATTACTACTCCTAGGCTGGGAGCCAAGAAAAAGTGTCCCCCTTGTCAGGAATAATCACTATTATTCAAGAACATTGGAGATTTCTAATTACCAGTTTCTGGGCTGATTACCAGCTTAGAGTTCGATGTTGGGCATTTTGCTCACTGTCTCCTCCTCTCTGGGGCCTGTTCTCACGCAGGGCCTTGTGATGCTCATTGCCAGGCAGATTTATGAAACATCTCAACAGACGCTTACATTCCATATGTTACAATTTACACATTCCTGCTGGGGTCAAGGTGGGGAATGGCATGTGTGTTAATAGCTGCATTTCTTACATGAACTTTCACATAAACCGTCTTCCCAGCTCATTTTACTGATATGTTATAATATACTTTTTTAAACGACATTTCAAGGTCATGAATGAATGCTTCCTAACTTTCATTTTTAGATAATTACAAGTCTAGAAAGGGCAACTAGAGGGAGGTTTCTGAGCCCAACCCCCTGTCACTGACCAGAACTCTTTCTGAATCATCCTTGCAGATCTCCAAGGAAACAAAGGGGAACATTCTTCTACAGTATCTCACAATCTGTCTCCAGTTGCCCCTTTCTGTATCCCAAGGATGCATTGGCTCTATGTGATAATCACCATTGTCTTTGCAGTTCTAGAAAAAGTGCCTTTTGTAGAAAACATCCAACAACATTGTTGAATCCACATGGCCACCATCAAGCCGGTCCATCATATTGCTGGAAACTTCCCACAAGCATTTGCTTCTTGGCAAGGAAACAGACTCACATAAGTCTGTGCCATTTTGTTGTTGTTGTTGTTGTTGTTGTTTTTCCTGACCTGAATTGTCAGTCAAACTCTATCTTCGGGCCATTTGTCAAAACACCATTGTTTCCTCTCTTCCCTGTGGCAGTTTCATTTCTATTGTTCAAAAAAAATCAAAAGTCAGAGCAGCCTTGGGTTGGTGGAAACAGGGCTAATTCATTGGGTAGTGTAGTTTGTGACCACCAGCCAGTCTCACCATTGGGGTTCAGCAGACTGTGGGAATCACCTCCTGCCAACCAACTTTGGCCCCTTCAGGAGACTACAACTCATAAAAGTTTCTGTCACAGATTGTTCTGTTTCAGGGCCACAATATACCGGATGATGGCTTCCTATGACAGGGCAATTTCTTCTCCCAGATGTATCTTTATTATAAGAAACTTATTTCTTGTTTATAAGAAGCTTATTAAGAGTAAAACATATCATTAAAAAAAAACCCAAATATTTGCTAGATCTGCTCTTTGCAGAGTCTTGGGCCTAAAGCTATTACTGAAAAGACACACAGTTTTATGCTAACCTGGATCCGTGTTGTTCGGGAACCATAGCAGCAATTTTCACATGAGGATAACATAGCTAAGACTTTTTTAAAAATATTTTTAGTTGTAGGTAAAAATAACACCTTTAATTTCTTTACTTAGTTTTTTTTAAAAAATGTGGTGCTGTGGACTGAACCCAGTGTCTCATACGTGCTAGGTAAGTACTCTACCACTGAGCCACAACCTCAGCCCAAGCTAAGACATTTTTAATGGTGAACTGTTTTCTCCACTTGTTTAACATTATTTACCTAAGAAATGTATTTTAAAACAGAATTTAAGATTTGATTCCTATATTAGGTGTGTTCCAAATGCTGCTTAAGGTAAAAGTGATTTCTCTAAACATTAAATAGGTGAATTCTTTGAGCAAGGATAATTGGGAATTGGACAGTTGAGGGGACTCCTGAATAGAAGACTCTATCAACTTCCCAAAGAGAAAAATGCCAGTTTCATATAGGGGCTCAATATTCAGAATGGCTTGAATTTCTCATAAGCAATTCCAGAAGCTAAAATGTAAAGAACAATGTCTTCAAAATTCAAAGGAAAATTATTTCCAATCTATCACTATAAAACCAGGTAAATACCAATCAATAAGAGGCTAGCATAAAGTCATTTTCAGACACACAAAGCCCCTCCAAGTCCATTCTTCTCCTGTCCCACTCTAGGCCCTGGGAAGCTCACAGACCTGGATTGCATCAGTGAGTTCCCTGGTCTTCCACTTCCAGTAGGGTTTGGCCCAATGGGAAACACTGGCTGAGATTGTAGGGAGAAAGAAGAATGAGGTCATTCTATTTGTTCCCTGGCTTCCTCCTCTGCCAAATCAGCTTAAGTTGACCATATTCCTTCCAGAAGGTTGGTTTCCTCTAAGATCTACCTC